AAGTCACCAACTCCTTCGTGGTGTCGCTGGCGGTGTCCGACCTGTGCGTGGCCGTGCTCGTGATGCCGTGGCGCGCCGTGTCCGAGGTCTCTGGCACGTGGCTTTTCGGATGTTTCTGTGACACGTGGGTGGCTTTTGACATCATGTGCTCCACCGCGTCCATCCTGAACCTGTGCGTCATCAGCATGGATCGATACTGGGCTATTTCCAGTCCTTTTCGCTACGAGAGAAGGATGACGCGCAGGTTCGCTCACCTGATGATCGGTGTTGCGTGGACGCTCTCCATTTTAATCTCCTTCATCCCCGTGCAGCTCAACTGGCACCGTGTGCAAAACTCCACCTCAGCGATTAACATGTTGGACTGCAACACTCGCCTGAACCGAAGCTTCGCCATCTCCTCGTCGCTCATCAGCTTCTACATCCCCGTGGTGATCATGGTGGGAACGTACACGCGTATTTTCCGCATCGCTCAGACCCAAATCAGGCGCATTTCGTCCCTGGAAAACGCAGCAGCAACGGCAGGACGAAATCCACGAAGCCACCACCATCGTGTTTCGACGCAGGAAGAGAGTTCTCTGAAGACGTCTTTCAAGAGAGAAACCAAAGTGCTGAAGACCCTCTCCGTCATCATGGGGGTTTTTGTGTTCTGCTGGCTGCCGTTTTTTGTGTTGAACTGCGTGGTTCCTTTCTGTGATTCGCAGAGAGGAAGTGCGTGCGTCAGCGACACGACTTTCAGCGTTTTCGTGTGGTTCGGATGGGCGAATTCCTCCCTGAATCCGGTGATCTACGCCTTCAACGCGGACTTCAGGAAGGCCTTCTCCACGCTGCTGGGCTGCGGGAAGTTCTGCTCCAGTTCTGAGGTGCAGGCGGTGGACTTCAGCAACGAGTTGGTGTCCTACCGCCACGACTCTACCCTGCAGAAGGAAGTAGTTCCGGTTCCAGGTGTGCAGAGACAGGAAGTGAACTTTGACAAAGTCTCTGTCATCTTTCAGTGTGAGGCGGAGATCTGTCTGGACCTGATGCCCTTCAACTCCTCCGGTCCCAACGACTGCTACCTGATCCCGGGTCAGATCCACGACCTGTGAGGGGCACAAAGACTTTAAAGACTCTTCTTTGGTGTCAAATTGCTTTAATTTAAATTAACTTTATTCTGTAAAGATGTGTTTTTATCCGGGGGTTTCGAGACAAGCCCTCAAAAAGTTCAGTGAGGTCATTTTTCATGTGGGGATATTGCGACAAACGTCAATGGGCCCAACAAGACTTTGTCCCATTGACTTACACTTAATTCTCTTAAACTTTAAGGCTTTTTTTGGTGCAAAATTCAAATGTTATGCTACCTGATCCTGGACCAGTGAGCAGCCCAACTCTGGGGCTTCAAAGGCTCTTCATTGGTGCCAAATTAAAATGTAAATGTAAACTTCATTCTCAGTGTTTTTATCCGGGGGTTTCGAGACGAGCCCTCAACATTTTCTGGTGAAGCAACATTTTTATTTTACGCTATCTGATCCCGGGTCAGATCCACGACGTGTGAGGGGCACAAAGACTTTAAAGACTCTTCATCGTGTGTTTCTCAAAGCGTTGACTTCATACTCAGTAAAGATGTGTTTTCATGCGGGGATTTCGAGACACGCTCTTAAAAAGTTCTGTTGAATCAAATGTTTTGTACTCGTCAAAATATAGCACTTCATTCCCCTCCTAGTGTGTGCCGTGATTGGGCCCAAAAATACTTTTACCCATTGATTTACACTCATTCAAGTCATTTTCTCAAAAGTTTGACTATTTTTAAATGAAAATGTTGACTCTATTCTAAAGATGTTTTTTCATCCGGGGATTTTGAGACAAGCCTTCAAAAAATGAAGAGTCTTTCAAATAAAGCCATCCATTTGTTTAGCTACCGTTCGACTCTGAAGAACTTAGGCTGTTGTTTTCAGTTGTTTTAATAAATGGTTAAATGTACTTTATCGTGTCGGGGGGAAATTGTTTTCAAAATGTTGTTTAAAAACCACACGTTATAATAAAAGGTAAAGTAATTATAGTTTGAAAGCACATTTTCAGCACAGGGGTAATGTAGAGTTCTTTACATTTGCATTAACCACACAATAAATGATAAATGCATAAAAGAGAGAGGATATTATTAAAAATCTGCCCTGAAAATACAGCATAATCTGCAGAAAGTATTTTAATAAAACATTGTTATAAACACAGGTGCAAACTCCCGTCTGTCATTAAACAAACACGTTTCATCTCAAGCTATAAGAGCTGCTCATTCTAAGCATGCATTTGAAACCATACACACTTTAGTGCATAAATTAGCTGCAAAAAAACACCTTGCACGTCTGAGAGCGAACACACAATTATCCAAGGCCTGTTTGATACAAAAGATTCACCTTCAGCGGATGGGTTTCAAAAAGTGTCTGAATGTTAGGAACGCAGAAATGAAAGCAGCAGCGTCTCAAAGCACGGAGCGGGGCTGTGTTTCTCTCCGAGCCCTTTGCTTTAGAGTGACGTCCGAACCGGGCTGTGTTTGATGTGAGGGTCTGGAGCTTTCCTTTGTTAAAGGCCGACCGTCATTTACAACAATTACACAATTAGCTCCAGTGGTTAATTGGCCCTTCAGGTAATTGCAGGAGGTTTCAGTCGAGGAAACATACGGATGAAGAGAGGAGAGGATTCAGATCATCCAAACGTTTCTGAGAGCTTTCAGAAAAGACCATTTCCTGTTTCTGGGTTTCTATACTGGACCCTTTTCCCAAAAGCTTCACATCTTCAGAACATTTTGACGGTAAAATTGTATTTTCTACGGTGTCCGACACGTGCAAATATCGACCCACGTCTCCTCCTTCAGGAGAAGCAGCTTCAGAAAGGATGCAGGTATAGAAACCCAAACGTTCCACATGAAGAAACATCTCCAGCAACAACACCTGCAGCGTTTAGAGAACATTCAGCACCTTGAGGACACATGCTTTCATTCAGCACCTTGAGGACACATGCTTTCATTCAGCACCTTGAGGACACATGCTTTCATTCAGCACCTTGAGGACACATGCTTTCATTCAGCACCTTGAGGACACATGCTTTCATTCAGCACCTTGAGGAGACATGCTTTCATTCAGCACCTTGAGGACACATGCTTTCATTCAGCACCTTGAGGAGACATGCGACTGCCAAGGCACAC